GTGTGGGAATTTGGGGATTGTGAGTGGGGGTGGGGTAGTGGATGGGGTGTGCCTGAAGGGGGTGCGGGCGGGCGCGGCCGGCCGCACACCGGGGCGCCCCGGCCACCGTCAACCACAACTTGCGATGGGAGTCGGCGCCGCACGACTGCGGCGTGTCGGGCCTGCCATCCCCCATTGTGAACACAGCAGCCGATGGGGAGGCTCGCCAGCGGTCAGATCCAGCAATGCACGCCAGTGTCGCATGCGCCCGCGGGGCGCCAGGGCCGCCGAGGGGAGCCTGTGCGAAGGCCGCCCCAGGCCCTCCCTGGCTTGCAGGGCCCCACCTTGCCGGCATCGATGTGGGCCATGATACCGATGTTGCGGTAGCGGTCCAGGGTCACCTCGCGCTCAGCAACGGCTGCGGGGCAGCGGCGCGGCAGGGCGGGATCGGACGGGGCCGGGGGAGGGCGGCGCCGCAGCAGCGCGGCGCGGCGGGCGGGCGCGGCGCCACACAGGAGGCAGCGAGGCGTTGGGCTCACCAGCGTCCTTGCCAGCAGCGCAAACGACACCGCGCTTGGGCTGGGAGCGCGCCTGCCTGGCGGGCACGCCATTCTGCACGGCCTGGGCCTGTGTGGTGCAAAAAACAGATCGTGAGCGAGGCCCGGCAGCACTAGCGCCAGCTGCGCGCATGCTTATGTACTCACATTGGCGGCGAGGAGCACGTTAGCCGGGGCGGCAATCGACCCACGGGCCACGGGGGCGACAGGCGCGGACCGCGCAGCCACCAGGGACGAGTCCCTGGCGACGCCCGAAGCCTGAACGCGGCTGGCGGTAAAAGAAGCCATTTGTCGACGTCTGAAGTCGATGGCAGGTAAAGGTACAGCAATGTGAGGGCAAGCAAGCCTTATCCCGATGCAGCAATGCAGTCGCCGATTGAAATTGCTGGTCCCGACAGCACGTCTTGTGCGTATCAATGCGCCGGCGCGTTCACAAACTGCTCACCATGCCATATGTATCGGCGGACGGCCCAGGATGTGCCGGACGCCTGGTCGCACCCAGGAGCGTCCTGCTCGGCTCAGAGCACCACAAAACGGTATCTGGTGGAGGCCGCGCCGCGACGCATCCTGGTGCAGCAGCAACAAACTTGCATGACCTACAGCGCGTCTACCATATGAGTTTGCTTCGGTTAGAGTGCTGAAACATGCAATGCGCGTCAGGCTGGCTCTTACGTTTGCGACAGACGGGCGCACAGCAGTGCTGCGCGCGGCCAGCATGCTGGCCCTCCTTTTGCCCCCCTCCCCTCGAGCAGCACGGCAGCCGCAACGACAGCGCTGCATCGAACACTGCCAAGAGCCGGCAGACGCTGCAGTCACGCCGCCCTTCCGCCAACCCTGCTGCATGGGATCCTGGGCAGGTTCGGGCAGGACTGCTCAAACACCGAGGGGACTGACAGCAAGCCTGCTGGGCACGCGTTGGGTGCGCGGCCCGCTCACCGCGCGAGCAAAAGTCCCCGCAGATGCCAACATGCAATGCGGCGTGATTGCCGCCGCAATCGGAGCCAGTGAGCTCATCCAAAAGGTTCGAACACTGCCCTGTCAGGCGGCGAGCAGCATCGCACCCCTCCGCCCGGGCGCCTCAGTGTTTGCTGCTGCCACCTGTGCGGACGCCGCCGACAAGGCCGCCGGGGACACGATGCGGCGGGAGTGGCGCCAGCGGCGATGGGGGTCGGGTTGGGGAGGGAGGGCCCGTTGCACTGTCTGGCAGTGATTGTAAGGGGGTTGGCTTGCAGTATATCAGTCCTGAAGTGTTGTGAGGATATGGGGCAGATGTCAGAGCGTTTCGGTGGCCCTGAGGGTCAGCCTGTGACTGTCAGAGCCTACCGCTGCCGCGCCTCGGGGCCGGGATCCAGCGCAACTCGACGCCGACGAGCCGGCTGCAAGACGCGGATCGCAAGGGTGGTCTCAAGTTCGCGAGGTTTGCCGGCGTGCTTCAGCGGTGGCATCAGGCGCAACGCGCACACCTCTGGGCCGTTGACGTCGGCCCACACGGCTGATGTGGGGCCCATATTGCCGCGCGCCCTCAACTGTGTGCAAAGTTGGCGGTTGACCCAGCCATGACGGCCACTCAAGCAGCAGCGCGCCCGGTTCCGAGTAGAACTCGAGGCCCCCCGACCTGCCTTGAAAGGTCCCTCCGCCACCTCAGCAGGCCAAGCCTCGAGTGCACAGGGTGCTGCTGCCACTGCCCACACTCACAACTCAGGCTGCCGCATGCTCAGCTCATATGAAGCCACGCCCGCCGGGTTACTTCTCATGCTGCCACAGTAGCCCTGTGATCAACCGCCGTGCTGCCATTCAAAGCCCTGAGCAGTTTGCAAGCTGCTGAGCAACTATTTACCAGGCATGCACTCCAGTGCGCCTCAACAACACCAAAGCAGCAAACAAGCGGAAGTTGCTAACTACATAACGATAAGGAAGCGTGGCTATACAAAAAACACGCACGCGCAAACGGGAGACCGACTGCCTCCAACTGAGTGAAGACGAGGACTGCTGCGTACTGCTGCGTACGGCCTGGGACTGTGTGCCTGTGCCGCCAACTTGCCGCAGCAGCACGATCAGCAGCAGCGGCAGCAACAGCCGCTGTCGCTCTCCTGCCTCGGGCACGCCAACACCTGTCGGCGCCCGTCGAGCCGCCGACCCGAGCAGGCCACGGCGGCACAAGCCGGTACATTCGTCCAAAACAGCGCACGCGCGACCGGCTGGCGACACCACGGCGCGGCTGCTCAGCGCCCTTCCCGCACGTCCCTAGACTCCCCCGGCCGCACGTGCATGAACGAGCAGTCGTCGCCGTGGCGGCAGCTGCCGGGCCGGTTGAAGTACTGGCAGGGACGGCTGCGGAAGTTGGGCGGCCGCGGGCCGCCGGGGCCGCCCGGGCCAGGCCGGCCATGGCTCTGGAACGGGCCCGGGCCGCCGCCGCCACCGCCGCTGCCGCGGGGTGGGGGGCCGCCGTGGTGGGGCGGCCCGAAGCCCCCGGGCGCAGGCGCGAATTGGGGGTTGTGTTGCTGCGGGGGGCCGAAGTGGTGTGGCGGTCGCTGCTGCTGCTGTTGCTGCTGCGATGGGCCCTGCAACGGATGCTGCACAGGTGTGTAGCCGGGCTGACCCGGCGGCGCTCCAAACAGCTGGAGCTGCGGCTGCGGCTGTTGCTGCTGCGGCTGCTGCGGCGGAAATAGCGGCGCCGCGGGCCGCGGCGGCTGCAGCTGACTGTGGGAGCCAAAAAGGCTCGGCGCCGGCGCCGCGCCGGGCGCCGGCCGCAGCTGCAGGCCCGAGTGAGCGCCCGGCGCCGCCAGGCCCGCGGGTGGCGTTGCGGATGCTGTCGCCTGCGGCAGAATGCTAGCGAGGCTGCTCAACACCGCCTGCAGCCCCGGCGGCGGCGCAGCGGCGGGCGCGGGCGCAGGCGCGGGGACGGGCACGGGCGCGGGCGCTGGTGCGGGTGCAGGCGCGGGCGCGGGCAGCACTACGGTGGCCATGCCGCCGTGCGCGGCAGGATGCACCACGTAGCCGCCGCCCGCGAGCTGAACCGCCGGCTGCTGCTGCTGCTGCTGCTGCTGCAGCGGCTGTGGCTGCGGCGCGCCGGTGGGCACGGCCACCGGCGCGGGGGCGGCCGCCGGCGCCGGCTCCCACGGGATGACCACGGCAGGCGCGCCGGCCGCGGCGGCGCCGCGGCCGCGGAGGTGCTCCGGCGGCTCTGAAGGGGTCGACGGCGCCGGGAAGACGGCCGCCGTCGCGGGGCGGCCGGCGGCCAGCTGCTGCAGGCGCGGCGCCTCTGACGAGTCCTCGCCCGCCGCGACCCCCCAGTCGGCGCAGAGGGCGACAGGCGGCGCTGGCACCCAGGCGACTGAGGGGGCGACCGCGGCGACGGCGGCGCGCATGCGGCGGGCGTTGTCGTGGAGCTGCTGCTGCTGCTGCTGCTGCTGCTGCTGCTGCTGCTGCTGCTGCTGCAGGTGCTGCTGGTGGTGCTGCTGCTGGTGCTGCTCTGTGTGGTGCATCTGCGGGTGAGATGCGCGGGGTGCAGGGTTGAGACGCCGCGTGGCAAAATGGGTGCATACGTGTGTGTGTGTGTGTTTGTGTGTGTGTGAGAGAGTGTGTGTGTGTGTGTTGTGTGTGCCATGACACTGATACCTGGCCTCAGCTAATCCTTTTGACGCAACCGAGGTCTCAAGGGATTCATAAAAAGCAGGCGACGCAAGCGCGCCCCGTCCTAGAATGACTCTCCAAGGCGCTGGAAGGGGCCCTGCTGAGCCGCCTGCCCCAAGAAGCGCACCCCGGCCTGGGCCACACCCACCTGCTGCAGGAATTCGCGTTCCCGCATGTGCTCCTGCCGCGCCGCCTCGCTGAAGGTGGGGTGGCTGTGGGCCGCTTTCCGCAGCTCCTCATCCGTGTAGAGAGAGTCCCCGCGCGCCTGGGGTGTGCATGCGTGTTTGCGTGTATTGTGTGTGTGTGCGTGTGTGTGTGGTGTGTCTGTCAGGGAGAAAGAGAGAGTCCAGCATGCCTGCCTGTGTGTGTGTATGTGTGAGAGAGAGAGAGCGCAAGGAGCATGCCTGCCTGCTGGACTTGGCTGACCACAGCGCCGACAGCCGCCATGCAAACGTGTGGCATGGCGGGGGCCAATGCTCGCTTTCGATAGGAGGCCAGCACAAGTGTGCATGCACACTGATGCTGATGAGGACCCCTGCATTGCGAACATCCATCCTCTTGCATCGCAGACACATATATACACACAAGCACATGCGTGCGCGCGCACGCGTGCACGCACACGCCTGTGTGCACGCGCGCATGCAGCGGTCAATGGGGACGCACGCACCTGCTGGGGCGCATCCTCCTTCCGGAACCACCTCACATTCACCAGCCGCATGTCCGCCTGCCAGCTCACGCGCTTCCCGCTGCCCGCCTTGCGGCGAGGCTCCTGATCCGCCTCCGGTACCTGCGCTGCCGCGCGCTGCGCGCGCAGGGCCGCGCCGGTCAGCGCGGGCGCCGCCAGCAGGCGCGCGGTCACGGAGCTGGGGGCGCCGATGCGGCTGACCCCGCCGATGCGCGTCACGCCCGCCGCGCCGGCGGCGGCGGCGGCCGGCGGGGCGCCGGCGCCAGGGCGCGCTGCAGAGTTGCCAAAGCCGGGCCGCGCCGGACGGGCGCCGATGCGGGCCATGCCAGAATTTGCTGCTGAGGCAGGGGCTTGGTGCTGCTCCTGGTTTGCTTTCTGTAACAACAATTGAAGATCCACGCCGCTGCCGTCCTCCCGCACGACGATGCGCGCCGACACGACCTCCTGCTGCCCCTGCGGCTTCTGCTGCTGCTGCCGCCCCGCGCCGACCGCCGCCGGCGCCCTGCCGTTTGCCGCCGCCGCCGCGGCCAGCTGGCGCGCCTCCGCCGCGTCCATCCTCTGCACGCCCGCCGCCTGCGGTGCGCGCGCGGTGGTCGCGGGCCGCGCAGCCGAGCCCGTGTTGAACACAAGCGCCGCCTGTGGCTTCACACGGCCGGGCACGCACCCCTGCTCCCTTTCAAGCCGACCCCCGTCGGCACTCAGCGCAAGCCCCAGGCGCACACGCGCCGCTCGCCGCACCTTGGGGGGCTGCGGCTGCACCGCCGGCTTGGGTTTAGGCGCGGCCGGTTTAAACAGGTCGTTTTCAGACAGCAGGTGAATGCTGCTCGCCGCGCCCGCAGCAGACGCTGACGGGTGCCTGCCGCCTGCCCCGGCTGCTGCCTTCGCCTGTGATGGTGGTTGCAGGGTCCAGGGTTTAGGGATCGGACTTCGAGGGTTGGTGGGAAGGTATGGTGGCAGCACACGTAAGCGTGCTGGTAAACTAGGTGGCGTTGCGTTGCGTGGGGTAAGCAGCAGGGGAGGGGTTGGGAGTGGCGGGGCCAAGGGGCGGTCCAGGGCATAGTTGGGTGTCGCCTGTGGGATGCTGTCTGCACCATCGTGATCAGCGCGCCCAAAGCGGTGTGTGTGTGTGTGTGTTTGGATGTGCAGATAAGGAGGGTCGCCTTCAGCCGCCCGCAGCGGCGGCAGCGGCAGCGGGGCTCCGAGGCACTTGCTCCCCCACTCTCGCCCTTGCCATGTGTATGGCAGCCAAGGCTGGATTGGGGTTACCAGGAGGGGGCCACGACAAATACATGCAAGCGTACGCGCACGCACACACGCACGCACACACATACACACACACACACACACACGTGTGCGGCAGCGCGCACATGACTGGGGCAGCGCGCACGCGCGTTTACACACGTACATGCTCGTGCACATCACCGCACACGCTCATTCTCTCTCTTTTTCACACACACATACACACATGCACACACACCCAGGCGCACGAAGCGCTGCATCATGCATGCCTGCCTGCGCATCACCGTCGCACGCTGCGCCCGCAGCAGCAGCGCTGGCTCGTGCGCCCTCTACCCGGGCCGTGCCAAGCCCCTCTCTCCGCCTGCAGTGACCACTAGCACCCCTGTTTTGGTGCGACACGCGCCAGATGCCTGGGCCGTGGCTGCAAAGGGGCCGCAGCGTCACAAGCATGCGCGCCTGGACCCAAGCTCAGGGCTGCAGCGGAGCGCTGAGGGCGGCGCCGCGGCGCACACCCAAGGCCCGCGGGACCGCAGCGCCTACGGGTGCCGCTGCGGGACGCTGCGCCCGTGCAGGAGCGCCGATCGCTGCGGCAACCGGCCTCGAAGCGAGCGTTGCTGGCACAGCAGCAGGGCTTGGCAGGCGCGGCAAGCAGCAGCGGCACGGGGTACAGCGTGGGCGGCGCTTCACCGACAGCCGGGGTGCGTCACGGGTGGGGCGCAGTGCCTCCTGGCCAGCGCGTCGCGTGCTCAGCACCCAGGGAATTTAGGGCTGACTGCGGCTGCTGATCTCAGGGTTTTGGGCTGAGGGCGGCAGACCTGCGGCGCTATGCCAAGCACACAACAAACCCATGCCTTGCATTCAACGCGACAACACTCCAGGCCGACACAACCGCACGCGCAACACCACCACACACTGCGCCGACACCGCACGCCAACGCTCGCCGCGCGACACGATGTAGAAGCTCGCTCTCAACACCTCCACACAAACCTGATCGTCAGTCTTGGCTCGCTTGGCCGCCGGCGGCGCCCTGCCCGCCGCCGCCGCGTCGGCGGCCCCACTGCCGGCAGACGCGCGCTTGTAGAGCTGGTCAACGCACGCCTTTGCCTCGGCCTCGACCGCGGGCACAGGGTGCTTCCGCAGGCCGCCGACGGCCTTCGTGATGGGGCTCGCCTTGAGGAACGCCATGTCGACCGGCAGGCGCGCCACTGCCTTGAGCACATCCACTATCAGCGCCGCCGCCTCCTTGCTGCCCTCCGCGGCCCTCGGCCGCGCCTCGGCGAGCCACCCCGCGAGCGCGTCCGCGCCGCCGGCGGCCATGAAAGCTGCGAGCCCGCGCTCGCGCGTGAGGCCGAGGACGAGCAGCGCGAGCCGCCGGCTGCCGGCCGTCGTGAAGCGCGGCAGCTGCGCGACGAGCGCGGGGGCGTCGGCGGGGCGGACGCCGCCGGAGTGGTCGATCAGGGACGCCAAGATGCCCTCATACGCCGCCAGCGACTCGGGGGCAGCCGGGGGCGCCGGCGCCGGCTTGGGCTGCCGCTTGGCCTGGGCGCGCTCGATCTGCTGCTGCTGCTGGGGTGGGGGAGGCTGAGGAGGCTGAGAAGAAGGCGGCGGCGGCGGCGCCGGGGCGGCTGCGGTTGCCGCCGCGCCGTTCTTGGTTGCGGCCTTGCGCTTGCGGGGCCGGGGGGAGGCGTTCTGCCCGCCCTGGTCCTGCTCCTGCTGCCTGCGGATCTTCTGGTCGTACTCCTCGCGCCGCGTGATGCACGCCTTTTTCATCTGGGGGTTGAGGCAGGTGTGGCACTTGCCGCAGCGGTCCTTACTGTTGAAGCGCGGGTAGTGCGACGGCCGCCGCGTGCGGCGCTTGACGCCGGCGGCGCCGCCAGCGGCGCTGCCGCCGCCGTCGCTGCTGCCGGAGCGCCGCCGGCGCTTCGCGAGGCGGGAGCCGGCATCGTTGTCGTCGTCATCGGCGGAGGAGCTCTCATCGGATGAGTCACTGCCGGAGCCGGAGGACGACGAGCTTGTGCTGGAGGCGCCATTGGCAGCGTCGTTGCCGGAGGCGTCTGACGCCGACCCCTCATCGTCGGAGGCTGGCGCGCCTGCGAAAATGGGTTGGATTTGCAGTGGGAGTGGAGTGATGCTGCCTAGGGTCTGCAGGTGGCGAGTGACGGTGCCCAACCACTTGGGGGCGCCGCGTCACAGCAGAGCATAGCCCTGCAGCTGGATCGCAACACGCATGCACCAGATGTGCCCCTACGCAGTGGCTTGTGTGGCAAAGTGCCTTGCCGGCCCTATACTGAGTTATAGGCGAGGCGATGCTTGCGTGCGGTGTACGGCGATCGCGGTGCGCCAGATCGCTACGCACGGCAATCGTGATCGTTCGTTTCTGGGTCCTACCGACCTTGTGTGCGCTGTTTGGATTCCTGGACCTGCACGATGCTCTGCCGCTGGGCGAAGCGCACAGATAGGGGCTCCTCGTCGTCCGTGCTGTCCGAGTCCCCTGGGCTCATCGGCTCATCCAACATAGGGTCCCGTTGAGCTGGCATGCGATGCCACGATACAAAAACGCTTCACACGCAGCACGCGGTCAGGCGGACGAGGCGCAGCCGCGCATCAGAAATCAAGACCGGAGCCACCGCAGCCGTTTGCGGCGCGCAAGGTCCCCGCCTGGCGCTTCCGTTTGAGAATCTTGATTTTTCAAGACCTCAGGGATCACAGCACAGCGTAGCCCGGGCTCAGCGGCAGCAAACACGGGGCTGCTGCTTGCGTCAGTCGCTGGCAGTGCACTTTTCTGCAATTATGTTTGCGCACAACTAAACAACCTTTAGGACATCGACGGACAACGCAGTGCTCAAGTAAACACGGAAAAAAATTCACCTTGAGCACTTGCATCGCAGCTGCTTGTTGCGGGCCTGGCTAGCACTACAGTATGGTATGAATAGCTGTTTGTAGTCGTAGGACTACGCTTTTGGCGGCGGCGGCAATCGCGGAGTGAGATGGTTTTGCTGCTGCGAGCAGGGGGCCTCGGTCAGGTCCTTTCTCCCCCTCCATGCTCGTTGGGCCTCCTTGCATGCACTCAGCAGAGGGTCGCGACTGCATGCGGCTGCACTGCCGCGCCAGTGCACAAACGGTTTGCTGGCCTCCTACTGGTGCAGCCCTGCGCTACATGGGTGCCCTCACCAGGTGCTGGTTTGACCTACCGCTAGCTCAGCAACTGTTCGAAATGCACACAGGCCGACTCTAAAGCATGAATGCGGGTGGGCCTCACATTGAAGGCAGCACACGATTACACAACCAATGAAAGGCATTAAGGAAAAGGGGTGTTGCAGCCAGTCATGTGATGCATGCCAGCACTTGTCTCATGAAGTCCAGTGATGACAACGATGGGGGAGAGTTGCAAGGAAGCAAACTGCTGGACATGGGCCATGTCAAGGACAGTCGACAGACATGCTCACACAGTCAGGTGCTTATTGCATGTGCCGCCGCTACCGGTACGGCACAGTTGGGCGGCAGTGTGCAGCGCGGGGACCGCCGCTGCAGAGCACTGGGGCAGGTGCCACCCACAAGCCATCGCCATCCAGGTGATCTACTAGTGTTTTGAAACATCCGGCCTCTCCTTGTTAAACCTATTACCTGCGTCCTGTTCAGGTCGCTGTTCTTCCTTGGGAGAGCAACCGACCTGCACGAAGCCTGCTTCATCACAGGGCCTGCTCGTCATTGGCGATAGTACGCAGGCATCCCCCGCAGAACGCCGTATTGGACGTGAGCGCTCAAGGGGACGCGCCCTATCTGGGCGAGCTGATGCACTCCCGCGTGTGCCTGGAACTCCGGCACGCGACCCGTGGCCAAGCCCATTCAACGAGCTGTAGCCTCAGGCGCAGCAAGCAGCACTGATCGCTAGCGCGCGCACACCCACCCAGCTCGCGCGGCCACGCTGGCTGCGCACGCGCCGACGTGGTCGCGTGACGTGCGCTGGCCTGCCCGTTTGCCGCCCTCAAATCTCCTCAGGTCGCGCATCGCTCCGGGCTGTATTGGCTGGGAGCCGGGTTGTGCTCGTGCAAGGGCGGGGGCGCATTCATCGGTCGGCAGCGCCCCGGGTCCGCGTTTAGTCAGGCGTAGCCTGCCGCTCCGCCCGCTGCGGGGCCCAAGCCAGCGCAGCCTCGCCAGCGGCGGCGACGCTCGCGCCGCGGCGGCGCCCGGCGCCGGGGGCGCAGCGCGGGCGGGC